GCGCCCAAAAATTCAAGGTTTTTAGAGAAAGTTATATTTTTAGAATACCAGTATCCAGCATTATGAGCTTGACAGCTTTCCTATATTTAAAGAGTTTTTTGATGACATTGGTGGTGATATCAATAAACTTTTTTTGATATTACATAATGATATGTGTCAACATTTGGAAGATATTCATTACTCAGGGAACTAATACATTCCAAATAACCAAGACATCATGTTACAAAATCATACAGTTATAAAAGACTCATTCAAAATGCAAGAGAGACCAGTGAATTTTAATGTAGCACAAAAAGTTTACTGATAGGGCTTCAGCTTCTACATTGCAACTAACTTTTAAGAAACTAACAGAGTTTTGCTGTTCTATCAAAGAAAAATACCCAGAACTACCCGAAAAGCAACAAATTAATCTACCTCTTCCAACTACATATGTGTAGGAAGCCAGATTTTCTTCATCTACTTCAATCAAAAGCATATATTATAATAGGTTGAACGCAGACGCAGATATGGGAGTCCCACCATCTTTTACCAAACCAGACATTAAAATGTAAAATAATGGGATGCCTGGGTGGCTCAGTCGGTTAAGCAGCTGCCTTCGGCTCAGGTCATGATCCCAGGGTCCTGGAATCGAGTCCCGCATCGGCCTCCTTGCTCAGCAGGGAGCCTGCTTCTCCCTCTGCCTGCCGCTCCCCGCCGCTTATGCTCTCTCTCTCTGACAAAAAACTAAACAAAACCTTTAACAACAACAACAAAAGATTCTCTCTCTCTCTCCCTGCTCCCCACCCCCTCACTCTCACATCTTTTTCTTAAAAAAGGAAAAGAAAATGTAAAACAATGTCAGTATTCTCAGAAAAAATTTTCATTCTTTAAATATAGCTACTTTTCATAAATAACCTATCATTAATGAAAACATGTAATGGGTTTATTATTATCTTTAAATAAAATGATAAGTAAAAAATTTTAAACTTTAAAATTTTTTAAATTTAAAGAAATTACAATTTCTAACATAGTGAATATCCAGAGATACTCCATATACACAGAAGTTAGTTAAGTACTCAATAATTTTGAAGAATGTAAAGAGTTCCTGAATCCAAAAAGTTTGAGTTAGATCTCTTGGTCTAAGAGAAAGTTACACACCCGTCCTCAGAGAGATATTCCTCACAGCACTGACCAGGGGAACAAGGAGTTGGACTTAGCCTACATCTTGTTCAGTAGGTGACTAGGTAAGTCATAATCATCATAATAATTCATTCAATATACACCATGTGCTCTTGCTGTCCTATGTGCTTTACTTATTATATGATTGAATTATGTCATCCTTACAACAAATCTATGAAGAAGGCATCTCTATCACTTCCATTTTATAGATGGGAAAGTGAGCCCTGAGAAGTTAAATGACTTGCTTTCATCTTCCACTTCTTAAATGGTGGAGCTGAACTTTAACCTGAAGTCTTACTTCAGAGTCTATGTGCTTAATCACTTGAAAGTTCTTCTAAGTTGTGGTATTTGCATAGAACAAAGCACCATGGAGAAGTCAGGAACAATAGGTGAGTACTGCATAGCCTCACAATAAGTTAAAAAATAAGGGGGGGAGGGAAGGAATTGTATTGTAATGACTGCATAAGAAAATGCCATTTGTATACTTTTGTGTCACTCCAGTTAAATGACTTATGGTGGGTAATAAATGGTTGGAAATTCAGTCAGTGGGGAAATAAAAAGAAAACAAAACAAAATAAAAATGGTACTTCACAAAATGATGGTAGTATGCCAGGAACTGAAGAGTACTATTAATTCAATTTTTAATACCAAGGTTAACAAGGACAGTGAAAATAATGTCTACTCCAGACTCCACCCCATATACAAACACAACCTACAGTTGCCTTGAGGAAAAGAATTCTCCCCTCTCTGCCATGGTGACAACCATTTGCTCAGCTAACTATGGGAAACACGCAGCTCTTTCTTTCCAGGCTTATTCTAATCAGGCTCAGGGATTCTGACCCTGATCTGTGAAGCTCTCAACAAGAAAGGATGAGCTGAGTGCCTGCAGAACTTGTAAAGTAAGAACAGAATCCCTGGGAGGACAAGAGTCCTCAAAATTGGGACGCCTGGGTGGCTCAGTCGGTTAAGCGTCTGCCTTTGACTCAGGTCATGATCCCAGGGTCCTGAGATCGATCCCAGCATCGGGCTCCTCTGCTTCTCTCTCTCTCCCTCTGCCACCCCCTCTGCTTGTATGCTCTCTGTCTCTCTCAAATAAATAAATACAATCTTCAAAAAAGAATCCTCAAAATGAGCTTAAAAAAAAAATGGAATACTGTGACATAAAACATGCTCCACCCATTACTAAACCCACATGCCCTTTTATTCCATCTTTCCATGATTTTATTTTTCCTGAGGAGGAAATATTTATTTCACAATTCAGCTGGTGTGAGAATTCAGTGATAGAATGCTAACTTGGCAGCAATGCTTTGCTTATGTCAAGGTCATTTTATTTTATACTTTCCGTTGCCTAGGCAAATCTGAATATTTTACTGTTTTTTTCATTGAAGCAATGAAAATGGTCATTCCTTTCTTGAAAATTCTCATGCCTTCCTTCTTATTAGCACAGTCTTACCTTGAGCCTCCTTCAAAATGGAGAAACTTAAAATGGAATCCTGTGGCGCTCCCAGAGATTTTTCCCCCAATTCCTTTGAGTGGAGACTTCATCATTCCAGTTCCCCAACGCACTGATAGCCCTCTCTCACCTTTATTCATAACTTACTAATAATTAATTACCTTGGGGATCTCTGCCTCCTCCCACCAATCAGTGGATTGTGTGTCTATATTAGAGTGTGTATAGAAATCTGTCTGCTTTCAGCTGCCAGAACACCAGCCTTTTCTGAGGGGACTGATTCCAAGAAGAGGGAGGAAAACACATGTTGAATTTAAAGCCTGAGCTATTTTTAGGCTTCTTCTTCCTGGCTTCCTCCTCCAAGGCACAGGTTCCAAGTTCCTTCTTTCCTTGTATCTGAAAAGCAAGGACTAACTCTACAAAGATCTCGTATTTTCCACATGGAATCCACACAGTGAGCATTTTATAAGTACAGATGGAGCAGGGGCCCCTCAGGCCGGGCTGTTGAATATGAAATGTCCCCAGATTGCACTTGAGTTTGTATAAAGTTCTGGAAGAAGTGAGACAAAGTTTCTAAATCCCAAGCTGCAACCTCAATTCTTCACAAACACATTTGTTTCAAACTAAAATCTACAACTTCCTCTTTGCAAAGGGCCAGACAAATATGGTCTAAAGAGAGGAAGAAAGCCAAATAAACTGTATTCTAAACATCCCCCAGAACTTTAATTCTCGGATGAATCATTTAGCCCAATCCTTATATAGAAATTGTCTGGTTCCTCACAGCTTGGCCCATTCTATGGGCAAGCCAAAATTTCCTCTGGGTATCATCTATGGGCCTTTTTTCTCCAGGAAACAGGCTTTCTTCAATCCTAAATCTCAATTCTTTTTTTTTTTTTTTTAAGATTTTATTTATTTATTTGACAAAGAGAGAGGGAACACAAACAGGGGGAGTGGGAGAGGGAGAAGCAGGCTTCCCACTGAGCAGGGAGCCCGATGCGTGGTTTGATCTCAGGATCCGGGGACTATGACCTGAGCCGAAGGCAGACACTTAATGACTGAGCCACCCAGGCGCCCCTAAATCTCAATTCTTTCCATGTACCTCTAACATTAATTTCAAGATGCAGACAGAATCTTCCTTAGTCCCAAAACGTAATTACCCATCCTTGTGATATTATCACATTGCTTTATCTTTATCCCATTATTCAGAATTTCTAAAATTACTCCCTCTTAGGATGCCTGGCTGGCTCAGTCTTGGAGCATGCCACTCTTCACCTCAGGGTCAGGAGTTCAAGCAAAAATAAAATAAAATTACTCCTGTTGCTTCAGGTCCTAAGTAAATTGAAACAAAATATTTTCTCAGACCAATGACACATCTCAGGGGTCAGCAGATCTTTCTCAAAGTACTGCATACATCAGTACTTTATACAAGGCTCATGGTTTGTCAAGTTATTAAAACTCAAATGCCATCCTTAATATTCATATTCCCTTTTATATGTCATGTTTCTCATTTAGCCCTTTGCTGATTCTAGTTACTATGAAGTTTTTCATTTATTATGTTGCTTTATAACTAATATGAAGAGTAAAATTTAGATTTCATATACTGTTATGGTTTCCTAATATTAGGAAGTATTAAGGGAAGTATTTCATTTGTTTCTAATTTTAAAGTCATTGCAATAAAATTAGCTCCATAAAGTTCTCCTGACTCCTGTTGTCCTTAACAGTTTTCTGTTCCGGACCGCTGTAATGTTCTGTTTATAAACATGTCATCCCAGGGAGAAATGAGCTTTGTGCTTCTATCATAAAGAAGGGGCGCCTGGGTGGCTCAGTCGTTGAGCCTCTGCCTTCGGCTCAGGTCATGATCCCAGGGACCTGGGATGGAGCCCAAGTTGGGCTCCTTGCTCAGTGGGGAGCCTGCTTCTCCCTCTCCCTCTGCCCCTCCCCCTCGCCTGTGCTCTTTCTGTCAAACAAATAAATAAAATCTACAGAAAGAAAGAAAGAAGGAAAGAAAGAGAGAGAGAGAAAGAAAGAAAAGAAACATTTTCTAACACAGCAATCCTGCCAAGTGAAGAGTGGAGAACTTACTGAGTCAAGTGCAAACTGCCCCGGAGGCAGAGATCGTCGCCCTCTACAGAAGGTCCCGCCTCTGCTCATTCCGCCCCTTCCCCGCCCGCCCCGGGCCCGCGAGGGTCCGCCCGCCTCGCTCCCGCCCCCTGCCTCGCCCCGGACGCGCTCCCGGGAAGGGCCGGCTCAGGGCAGGGCGACAGCCAACTACGTCTGGCTGAGTGCTCGCGTCCTCCCAACTTCTGGGCGCCGGACCGGCGGACCCCAGCCGAGAGAGAGGTAACAGCCTCGGTACCTGCCCCCGCCTCCCCTCGCCAGGCGCCCGCGGACCATGTTTTCCAGCCCGCGGAGGTGGGGCGACGGCAGCGACTACGGGCGGGTCCCCGAGGGGCCTGAGGCGCAGGTAATGCTCATTGGTCCTGGGGGACCCTGGGGGGAGGCGGGCGGTCTTCGCCACTCTGGGTGGGGAGAGGGAGGTGGGGGAGAGCCGCCGGTTCGGACGCTGGCCTGTGAACTGATGTTTTAGAGCCCCCGTTTTAGTAGTAATCACACACAGACGGACGGACACACACGCGCGCGCGCAGTCGTGAGAGCTGACACCAGTCCTCAGGATGATGTGAAATCTGAACCATCAAGAGCTCAGTCAAGGTGGCTGCTGGAGGAGAGAAAGAGGCTTCTTTGAAGGGGTGAAACACTCCCCCATCAACAGAAACAAGCATTTGAGAAAAGAATGAATGGACCTGGCATCAGCGGAGGAGGAGAGGTTGGGATGGACTTCCACAAGCAGTGGCAGAACCCACCGAAACTGCAGGGGGAGATTCGGCATAAATACCACGGGGTTAACTGACAGGTGTTCACTGACCGGGTATTGGGAAACTGCGGTTGGGGCAATCCAGAAACTGCAGACACTTAACTCTGCCTTGCTCTGCCCCCATGATTAACACGTGCTTCTTCCACAATAGAAGTCATGTGCTAGGACCATAGTACAGGGCGACCAACGCTGCAGCGGTGTGTTAGGAGCAATTTCCCTAACAAAAATTCCACTTGTTTTGTTTTTCACTACTGTACAAGACAAAGTCTTAGAGATAGCCCCTCACATAAGTAGTTCTGTAATTCTAAAAAGGAGAAAGAAAAATTCAGGTTCAGGGGATCTTGTTTTAATCCTGGTTCTTGTTAGTGGCTCCAAGTGTCAAATAAATATGACAGCATTCTTCTAATTACATATAAAATGAAACTATAAATGTCTTTAAAAGTAAAGCAAATTATATGTAAAGTATTCTTTTTAAAAGTCTATAAAATATAGAGGTTGAATAAATCCCTTGAAAATGTGTAAGAACTCCACCAGGACAATACACTTTTTTTTTTTTTTTTTAACTTTACAGGAGAGATGGCAGACTTAAGCAGGGAAATGGGTTTAACATCATTGGTGCAACTACAGAAGTGGCCAAAGGCAGTGAATCACAAACTTAATACAGTGGGAAATTATAAAACTCAAACAATTCTCTCACCCAAAATTGTAGTCAGTTCTTCCTGTAGGATTCCAACAATGTTTATATCCTTGACTATTATTCAACCTGGATAGCTTTATGGACCAGGAATCCATTTAGACAGGACTAAAAATACTAGTTTTAATCGCATTTTCTTTTTGTTACTTCATGATGCCAATTTAAAAAAAAAATTGATGGCTTCAAAGCATATTGAAAACCTTATATGATGTCATTCTGAGACTATATTTTGACATAATAGATCTCAGAGAAAAATCCCACCTACTTATAAGCTAAGAACATGACTTTCTGGTAGTTTCTAGGGTTGGCATGGTGACCTATGAATAGAATACTTCTAAATACTTGTGATTAGCGGGGGCCATTCATTCATCCCCCCACAACATGTTTATTGTGAGCTAGGCCCTGCGCTAAAACTGAAAATATAAAGATAAATCGAACACAGTTTTCTGTCTTCCAGAGGAACTAAGTCTAGCAAGAGAGAAGCACCTGTCAGCAAATGATTTGATAGGAAAGAGTGAGGGTACATTCAGTGAAGACAGTTCTGAAGAGTTCCTTAAATCCTCCCTGAGGCATATGTTGAGATTGCTATGGTAACCCAGAACAAGAATATAAGCCCTAAAAAAAAAAATAAATATATATATATACATATATATATGTGTATATATATATACACACACACACGCATACACACACACACACACACACATATATAAGCCTTGAAGGCTGGGATGGGAGGAAAGGAATTATCAAAGGCCATAAATTTTTTTTTCTTTCCCAAAGGCAATAAATCTTAAATAGGATTGAAGTACAAGTGAGAATTAGCCAGAGGTGAAGTAGAAGGATGTGGGCAGAAGAAAAGATATCTCAGTATCAGCAGCTTGTAACAGGTAGAGTTGAGAGTGTGGAATTACGACTGGAAGATAGAATGGACTAACTGGATTAGATCCAATCTCTTAAACTTCTTTAAGTTTCTTAAACTCTAGGCCTTAGTTTCCTCCGCTGTAAAATGGAGTTGACAAAAATGGTTTCACCACAAAGACATGACAGATATATATATATATATATAAGATTTTATTTATTTGAGAAAGAGAGAGGAAACATGAGCAGGGGGGAGAGGCAGAGGGAGAAGCAGATTCCCCACTGAGCAGGGAGCCTGCCGGGGCTTGATCCCAGAACTTGAACCAAAGGCCGCCGCTTAACCGGCTGAGTAGTCGGAGCCCCACAGACATGTTGTATTTAATGAGATAATATACTTCATACAGAATCTGGCACATAATAAGTGATTAAGAAACATAAATTATTTTTGATTTCTGGGTGTTTTCCCTTCTCCATGAGGCTGTCCTTCCACTTCCCCTAACTTCCTCCACCAATCCCAGAACCTTGCTCCAGTATGCACAAAGGAAGTTCCTGAAGTTAGGCTTTACGAGATACTGTTAAATGTAGCAGTCGCACAAACCATATCCTTGTGGGACCACATCTCAAGGTTGAACCCAAGGAAGATTGAAAGCAAAACACTTCACTAATCCTGGAGCCTGGCTATGGTGTGGTCTCACGGTCTAAAAATTTCCTGCTCCTCCATCATAATCCAAAAATAACAGGACCTCCGTTCAAATGAAAATTGCCCTTAAGTCAGCAATGTTAAGGTATGTTGATAGGATACCTGCTATACCTGCAATGGTAGATAAGTATAATAGATAAGAAAATGGATTAGAAAACAAAGGCCTGTAGTGGGCTTGGGGCAACAAGGGAAATGGGAAACACTGGGGTCAGTTAGGTCTGCAGACCAGAAGTGTTGTCAGAGTGAGATCAGTGAGTTAGAAGGATTGAGAAATGTTTAATGGACAAGATGGGAGTAAATTAAGACACTGGAAGATACTCTTGTTACGGAACCTGGACTGGATCACCTGATGGAAGAACCAAGCGGCACTCGGAGATCTTGGAGGATAGGAGGTTTAATTAACACCAGCGGGCTCAGAGAAGAGTGATCTCCAAAGGTCTGAGCCCCGAGCTCAAACAAAGGGGGTAATTTATACACTTCCGCATACTTGGCACATTTGGCGCCTTTGTGAATCCGGGCAGGGAGAAGACCCCGCGCGGGAAGCAGAGCAGGGAGAAGAACCGGAAGAGCCTCGGGGCAAGGACTGGGAGTCTCTCGCTGGCTCGGTGGGCCATCCGAGGACGCAGATTTTCCTTATCACTCTTAGAATTGTCCTGTCTTGGTTTTCTACAAAGAAGTTACTTTGTAGCAATATATCAGTAATGAACTCAGTGAGGCCCATGCTATGCATTCAGTATTTATTGAAAAGTCATTTGTATATTCTTGGTGCTTGATAAGGCTTATTACCTTCACCAGATATTTTACCTGTCTACTGTAATTTTTTTCTGGGAGGTACATTTGGAATTTACGTGATAAATTCAGTGTAAGAAGCCTGGCCCACATCTAAGGAGGCTACTTACTAAAGGACTCAAAGGGCTTCATATGAGATGCTTTCACTTGGAAAATGGGCCTACAGGGAATGTTAAATCAAATACCGAGGTTTCGGTCTGCTAAAATAACCCTCTCTAGTAGCTTTGCTGGATATGGGTGCTGAAAACAACCACCTTTTTTACTTAGCTCATGATTCTCTGGATCAATTGGGTCATGACCTGGTTTGGGTCAGCTTGGCTGATCTCTGCTGATCTCTTTCAGGCACTAAAGCCAACTGGAAAGTTGGCTGGTGACAGGATCGTCTAGGACTAATTTACTCCTATGTCTAGCCCTTGTTCCAAGCCAGGACCTGTCAGATGAGCACCTCATTTCTCTCCTATGAGGTCTCTCATCCTCTAGCAGGCCAGCTCAGGATCAGACACATGGTGCACTCAGGGTTCTGAGCACAGCAAGCCTCTCGACACTTAGAATTGGAGCTCTCTTGGTGTCACTCTTGTGGCATTTTCATGATCAAAATTTTCAAGGGGTGGAGACTAGCATTTACCTCTTGATGGGAAAAGCTGCTAAAGATCTGTAGCCATTTGCAGTCTGCCACAGAAATGCGTGTGTTTTGGAGGTGAATACGATCTTTGCTTGGTGCTAAATTATCAAGTTGGCAACTCCCTGTGAAATAAAATGTGACTTGCAGGTTAATTCAAGAATTTTCAGAACATTCTCCACAATATGTGCACTTATTTTCCAAATAATATATTTGGTAATAGTAGTGATGATGATACAGTTCACATGTGCCAAGTATGATGATGGTTTTACATCTGTCATTGCATTTACTTTTTGCAACAATAATATAAGGATAGATAGCAATTGAGTAAATGATTTATAGTAGATCATTTGCTATAACTCGGAGAACAGATTTGGAGTGAACAGTGTTTTCTCAGGACATTTTGCTGTATAGGTTGGAATTTTGTTGCACAAATTCCTTCTAGGATAAGAATTTTTTTAAACATAGTGAACACTTTATGTCTGAGATCAGAACTGGATTAGAGAGGGTCAGTGCTAAAATTGTTAAATATGGACAATTTCTCATAATGAACTTTACTGTGGTGATCAGTTTTACTTTTTTAAAATATAGACATTGGTGCTGACTCTAAAAATATAAAATGGTTAGTTTTGAGGCCTTTTTAAGCCCTTCTTTTGGTTGAACTCACCAGGTCAACAGGAAGAATTTTATGGTAATGTTGTAAACTCCCAAAATAATATGTAATTGTGATAAATAAATGTTTATATCTTTATACCTTTATACTAAAATATGTAATTAAGCACACAGATGTAAACCAAGTGCCTATTATATTCTCTTATTTTTATATTTTTAGAAAAAAACAAAACTATCTTTAATTTAGTGATTAAAATGTTTTAAGTTTAGCTTGTATAGAGAGCTAAATTATGTATGTATACATAAGCAAATACATACATATATACACAGTCATAGGAATTCAAGGAGATAAATATATATATACAGAGAGAGAGAGAATGAGAAGTAGAAATTTCAGAAATGATTTCCCTTTCCTACATGATTTCTTGCTATGTAAACAGAGTCATAATGATAATGTTGGGAGAAATCTTAAAATGCCTCTAGTCCAACCACCATTCTCATATCTTAATTTTATTCCTTAGGGATTATGATAGCAACATAGCTGCAACTATTGGTAGATGAAATTATTTCATGTTTACTTTTCCACCTGTTGACAAAGATATTTCAAATTTGAAATAAAGGCATTTTCTTCATAGACTGCTTGTTATATTTTTCTTTTTAGAAATGCAGTCCAGAGAAAAATGCTTCATTCTTCAGTAGGATGACATATTCCTGGTTTAGCAGGTAGGAATTGTACTAATTTGTTTGTAGCATACCATCCTGAGGAAGATTCCAAGGAAAATGACATCTAAATGTTATTCCTCCAGTCTAAAGCATGGATATTTTTATAAATTGACTTTGTTAAGACTTTTTTCTTATATTATTTATTACAGAGAAATCACAAGATAGTAACATACTAAGTAGTTCCACAGATAAGATTGCTAATATTCCTACGATATTTCTGTCCCTTCATAAGATTCGTAACCCTGTTAGGACTATGCAAGGAGAGAAATTTGATTTTTTTTTTTTTTAAGATTCTATGTATTTATTTGAGAGAGACAGAGGAAGAGAGAGAGAGAGAGAGCACACACGAGCAATTGGGAGGGGTGGGGGGCAGAGGAAGAGGGATAAGTGGAGAATCTCAAGCATACTCCGTGCTGAGTGGGGAGCTCGTGGGGAGGCTCTGTCCCACGACCCTGAGATCATGACCTGAGCTGAAACCAAGAGTCAGGTGCTTAACTGACTGAGCCACCCAGGCACCCCAGAAATTTGAATTTTTTTTTAAAGATTTTATTTATTCATTTGACAGAGAGAGAGAAAGCACAAGCAGGTGGAGTAACAGACCGAAGCAGAGGGAAAAGCAGGCTCCCCGCTGAGCAAGGAGCCCGACATGGGACTCAATCCCACGACCCTGGGATTGACCTGAGCTGAACGCAGACGCTTAACCGACTGAGCCACCCAGGAGCCCCAGAAATTTGAATTGTTTTTAACATCCAGCATATATGTGCATATAATTTCACTTAATTCTCCCCCAAGTCTTATGAGATAGGAATTTACATATGAGAAAATTGAAAATTGAAGCTTAGGGAAAGGAATTAACTTGTCCATTGATACCCAGGAAGGAGCACACCAAGTTGGTGTTGGAAGTCAGTTTCCTTGAGTCCCTGTTTCATGCTTTTCTTTTCACTTTGATTAGTCTACTCTTTACTAGGAATGCTCCCACAAATATGTGTGTGTGTGTGTGTGTGTGTGTGTGTGTGTGTGTATACTACTATTAAAACACATAGTCATTTTTATAAGACATATAATGTGGTTTATCTCACAGAATAATTCATCTATAATGTGTGATGAGGGCTTTAACTCAGAATTAAATCATATTAAAAGAGAAGAATTGATTTTTCCAATTTTATAAATTCAGAAGCTTTCTTTAGAAATGTATTTCTTTCCCCCCATAACAGAAAGATTATGATACTTAAAACTATTATCTTTATGCCCCTTGTTTTATAGTTAGTAGAAACAAAATTGCCCAATATGATCTACAAATATGCTCTCAAGAGTAGATGAATGCTTAAAAAAAAAAGAAAGAAAAGGTTGATTGTATGCTGGATGCCCTGCATTATGTTAACCTTTAAGAATGCAGAGATAGGGGTGCCTGGGTGGCTCAGTCATTAAGCATCTGCCTTCGGCTCAGGTCATGATCCCAGGGTCCTGGGATTGAGCCATGCATCAGGCTCCCTGCTTGGTGGGAAGCCTGCTTCTCCCTCTCCCACTCCCCCTGCTTGTGTTCCCTCTCTTGCTGTGTCTCTCTCTGTCAAAGAAATAAATAAAATCCTAAAAAAAAAAAAAAAAAGAATGTAGAGATAAATGCCCTAGTTCCTATCTTCTAGGAATTCATAGATTTAGAAAGATTCAAAAGTATGCTGTCAATTACCCAAAAAAGGCAAAAGGCAATATAAGCATGATAGAGAAACACAGTTTTCAGGAATGCCATCTAACCACATTTGCACAGTTAGGGAATGTTTACAAGTAATTAATGCTTGAACCCAACATGTAACTACGTAAGAGTGAACCAAGTGTCATTCCAAGTTGAGCAAATACTGTATGCAAACCAGAGAGGCAAGCGTGGACTGACCCCTCCCACACTGCAGCCTGTTGATGTGGCAAGAGATCGAGCAGAGTGTCATGTAATTCTTGTTTGAACTTCAGAAAATCCCCTTTGCAGATGTGTGGATATGGTATGTACCAGGTGAGAATGGAGACAAAGGGAGTGGTTAGGAGGTTCTTCAATTATGCTGTAAATTTATGCTCATGGTCTGAACTATGGTAAAGAGGATGAAGAGGAAGGAACAGATTCAAAAGCTAATGAACCACTAGATAAGGAAATTGAAGAACTGGGAAAAATTTTAATCAGTTTCTGGCTCAGATAACCGCCAATTCAGGTGTGGCGGAAAAACTGTATGTTCAGTTTGGAGAAGCTTCAACTTGAGATGTCTGACTCATCCCCGTAAAAAATATCTAATAGGTGTTTGGATATATAGGTTTTTGATCTATGGATATGGATTTGGGAGTCATTGACTGTATGTCAGTCATTGAAGCCATGAGTATGAATGAGGTCATCCAGAGGGGAGAGGCTATTGAACAGGATGAGCAAACAGAACGTTGAGAATCCTCAGTATTAAATGGTGAAAGGAGGCGTAATCTACCGAGGAAGCTAAGGAAAGGCATTCCGAATGTAAGAGACAAACCAAGGAAAGAGTGTGTTTGAAAGCTAAGGAAACTGTCAAAAAAGGAGGAAAATAAGGTGATCAAATAAGGTGATCAATAAGTGCCAAATACTGAAAAGGGGTAGATTAAAAAATGAACTGAGTATTCTTCATTGAATTTGGCAATGTAAAGGTGATTGGTGATTTTTATGAAAGCAGTTTAAGTAGAAAACTGATATACTTGGTGAGCAAATAATTGAGCAGAAGCAAATAAATTGCATTAAATTATAAGAATTCCAAGTTAACACAAATCTAGGAATCACTTAAAGAGGATGGCAAAAATTTTACATCAATATGCTACATTAAGTTACACACTAGAAAAAAGAGTGGTTAAATAGGAATTATGTAAATGTGGGCTATTTACATTTAATGATTTTGATTTTTCAAATTTGTATATGTATAAATATATTTTCCAAACCTGAGTTATAGTTCATTCATGTGTTGAGAGGAAGAGTGATGTCTATTCTGGCTTTAAAAATTTCAGACTATCATTTTTAAGTCACAGGATATCATAGAATTTAAATAATGCAAATAAAATTAATTTTAAGGAAATGTACTTTTGAAACTTTATCAAACTATAAAGACTATATGCATTTATTTTAAATATTACAAACACCATTTTAGGAGGCCTAACATATGAGCTGAAATTAAATTTTATAAGCAAGATAAGGCTTAGCAAATTTTAAAATACAACTACTCAGTGTCTTGAACGAAGCAATAAGCTGTAACTGTTGAACATCACATTTATTTCCTGTTTGGATTTAACATCCCAGAACTAGATAGGAAATATTTGTATAGCATGCTGCTATCTGGAACTGTCATTGGCATGAATCTAATTTGATTTCTTATCTGGTAAATAAACAATTGCAGCTAAAATATAGCTATTGTTTAAGAGAATGTCTCTTTGAAGACAGTGGTTAATTGTGTTCTCAGATCTTTTCTTTGAGTTACAGAATAAAGTCAAATTATTTCCTAGGCCAAATTCAAGCTCCCATAATTATATGAATAATTCAATTAAAATGTGCTCAGATGATACAAATAATTAGGGAATTATATGCTTATGAGCCTTAATTCCTAAGGCAGGAAATGTCTAGATAGTTTTGATGATCAAATAATTATGAATCCTTTATTAGCAAATATAATCTGTCATCAGTGTATATTAATCATTGTCATAGAATAATCCCCTTGACATACATGGAGAAATCTAGTTAAAGTTTTTTTTTTTTAAGATTTTATTTATTTCTTTGACAGAGAGAGACACAGTGAGAGAGGGAACAGAAGCAGGGGGAGTGGGAGAGGGAGAAGCAGGCTTCCCGCCAACGCGGGGCTCAATCCCAGGACCCTGGGATCATGACCTGAGCCGAAGGCAGATGCTTAACGACTGAGCTGAAGGCAGATGCTTAACGACTGAGCCACCCAGGCGCCCCTAGTTAAGGTTTTTATAGGTCACAGTTGAATCACTATTTTAACCAGGGATACACTATTCAGTCTGTCCTCCCTTTCCTTACATATTAATAAAACTTATATATTACCTATGTCATATCTTGTAAGTTTTGGATAGACTGACCTTTTGCCTTTTCCCATAACACAGTCACCCCTTTCCAGAAATGTTTTAAAAAGTGATTAACAGTAATGAAATTGATGATGCAACTATATATCTATATTTTCCAAGTTTTCCAATATTACTCATCTACAAAATTTACATTTCATCTCATCTTCCTAGCGAACTGCTACTGGTTTGCTGCTCTTAAGATCAGTTGGATGAGATGTTTACTCATACTCGTTAATGTCAATATCAAATATACTCAAAAATTCTCTCTAAGATCACAAAATTGAAAGCAGAGTGGAACATGACACTTAACGGCATTGTCTGCCTTTGGTTAAGTTAGCCTTGGTTTATGTCACATTTAAAGAACTGACCAGTCTCTGGAGTTCTTGGTGTTTAACCACCTATAATAATGGAAAATTAATACTGCTCTATCTGCTTTAGAAAGCTGAATTTAATTTAACTGAATGACCTTTGAAAAGAAGTATCAGTCTAAAGCATACAAGATGCATGCTTAGGAATCAAGTGCACAGGTTTATGGGATCTGGTGCATGCTACATTCCCCTTACTGGGACAGTCACTTCTTGGTCTCAGTTCTTCCCAAACATAACAATAAAAAATTAAAAAAAAAAAAAAGAGAGAGAAGCACTCCTTCCTCTTTTCCTGGATACTGATGTGTGATAGAAAGACCAGCCAGGGTGATGAGAGTATTTAAATTAACCAAAAGAGAGCAAAAAGAGGAGGAGGGAGCACACACCTGGGAAAAGGGAAGTCACATTAGTTAAACAGCTGAACCACGGGCATCACAATCAATTCATCTGAAGTGTCACTTTTAGATGCTGCATTATTTGGAGACTCAGCATGAAAGCCGGGGGTCACTTATCCCCGTGAACCAAAACCGCTGAGTTTTGCACAGTTCTAACTCAAAATGCTGAGGCAGTAAATGTTATTAAAAATGCTTTTGTGAAAACCAATGCAATCTTATTTTGAAAATGAATATTTATTTTGTGGAATGGAATAGAAAGACTTAATATGACATAAAAGTAGTTTATTGCTTAATATGTTTTTGAAAGTGCACTGCAGGAAAATGTCCAGGGTATTTGAGCCAACAGAAACATGATTACTGAAGATCCTTTCTTACTACATTTAAACCTTTTTGTTAAATGTGAATTGTAATATGATATTATGTAGTATAATAAAAGTGAAATTGAATCCAGTGCAGACTCTGGTTACCATATAGGGTTTAAATCCATCTCAGGGTCAATCAATAGAGATTGTTCAGTAATAATGACAATGAAACCAGTCCCGTTGTGGAATAGTGTAATACTTTGTTATGGTCTCCTGGACTAATAATGTATTTTATAATGGAAAGAACAGAAACTATTAAGTCAGAAGGCCTGGGTTTAAACGTGGGTTTAATTTCTTCCTGAACAAGTTGTGTCACCAAGCTCATAAACTGAGCATGTCTGAACTACATCACTTAGGAACTTGGCTGGCTTTCAGATCCTTTGGGTAAATACCTAGTAATGCAATTGCTGGGTCCTAGGGTAGTTCTGTTTTCAACTTTTTGAGGAACCTCCATACTGTTTTTCAGAGTGGCTGCACCAGCTTGCATTCCCACCAGCAGCATAAGAGGGTTTTCCTTTCTCCACATCCTCACTAAGTGAAATAAGTCAGTCAGAGAAAAACAAATACCATACCATATGATTTGACCCATGTGTAGAATTTAAGAAACAAAACAGATAAACATATAGGAAGGAAAAAAGAGAGAGAGAGAGAAGCAAACCATAAGAAACTCTTGACAGAGAACAAACTGAGGGTTGATGGAGGGAGGTGGGTGGGGGGTGGGCTAAATGGGTGATGGGTATTAAAGAGGTCACTTGTTATGATAAGCACCAGGTGTTATACGTAAGTATAACTAATCACTAAATTCTACTCCAAAAATAGATATTACACTATACGTTAACTAGAATTTAATAAAAATTTGAAAAGAAAAAAAAAGGAACATATCAAGCAACAGAGTAGCCAAATAATAACAGCTGAAACAAATAGGTATTTATTTTCTGGTTATTGAGCAGAAGGCGAGGAATAAGTGGGTAAACTATGTTATAAGGGGCCCAGAGTTTTTCTGCTTTCCACTTCCCTTCCTCATTATTTGGTGTTTCGCCGATGGTGGCAAAGTTGGCTTCTCTGTGTCAGAGCATTATACCTCCAGTGCAGGCAGAAAGGGGGAAGGGAAAGGAAGAAGGAGGCAAAACATTTTCTCCTCTTGAAGTTTTGTACCTCCTTTTGAAAAAGAAAGTTCTCAGCAGACTTTTGTTTAGGTATCCCTAACCATAACTGAGTTAAATTATTAATGCTAAGCAAAAGATACTGAGATTACCAGGACTACTTTAGACCAATCATAAGTTATGACTCTGGCTGGGATAAGGACTTACCCTGAGTTTGAGAGATTTTCACCTGAATAAGTACCACATTCCTGGTGTAAGAAGATGATGGGGCAGAAGAATGGCTGTAAGTATAATTTATTGTCTGCCACAACATTTGTGGTGTAACTAGACCATGAATCATAGTTTGCCAGGGACAGTCCTGATGTAGACCCATTGTTCTTGCATAATTATTCACAGTGTCCTTTGGGGTAAACTCACTGAGTGGGGGAGAGTGGAAGTACTGAGACGTGCAGTAACTTGCCATACTCCTTAAGGCATTTTAAGAAACAGCACTGTCACACTGGCTCATATTCTGTTGGCCAAAGTAGGTCGTATGGCCAAGGCTAAAGTTTATGTTGCAGAGACAGGTACTCTACATCTAGTTGGACAATTTGTCAAGTCAAGGGGCAAAGGGTATATAATGTCCCAGTGGAATAGGAGAAGTTGCAAATGCAGAGGTTGGATCCCTTTCTCCTCTGATACAAGACAGAGGAGTTGTGGTTTTTGTTTTTGTTTTTTGTTTTTTTTTAAGATTTTATTTATTTATTTGACAGAGAGAGACACAGCGAGAGAGGGAACACAAGCAAGGGGAGCGGGAGAGGGAGAAGCAGGCTCCCCGCTGAGCAGGGAGCCCGACAGGGGGCTCAATCCCAGGACCCCAGGATCATGACCTGAGCCGAAGGCAGACGCTTAACCATCTGAGCCACCCAGGTGCCCCAGGAGTTGGGGTTTTGAAGTGAACACCTGACTGTGAAAGTTAGCTATGTAAATTTCAGTAAGGGAGGTAAAGTAGTAGGTGCCTCCAATATGAGATGAGTAAAGGAAGTTAGTGTTTCACTGAATAATTGGATATCCAAGTAATTCTTCTAAAAGCTACAAATGATTATTGCACATTATTGAACTGCAGGATATGTTGTATGATTTTTCACAATACAATCTAGTCATTGCAGCCTGATTTAAAAAATAATTTATAAACCAAGAATAAGATAAATGCATGCAAAGTTATTTTTAACTTGATTATTGGTTTTGCTGAATTGTTTACCTTACTCTTTCATTTTTAGAATAATTGTTTTAGGCTATAAGAGACCTTTGGAAAGAGAGGATCTTTTTGAACTAAATGAAAGTGATTCTTCCTATATCGTGTGTCCCATCTTTGAAAAACAATGGAGGAAGGAAGTTTTAAGGAATCAAGAGAGGCAAGAAGTAAAGGTAATTAATTCTTAAAACCTAAGTACCTAATTACTACCTAAAACTAGAAAGAGGTTCTTCCAAACATGAGATATTATTATGAATTTAGAAAGTCCTTAAAATATGTGCAATGACAAGCCATTTTCATAAGTACAGTTGGTTGTTATTGCAACGAATTTCTGTCATCAAATTATTTGGCAAACCTTCCCTTTAATATTAGGAACAATGTGTTGATATGTTATCTTTGGCTTTTTACCAGTATCTTTTGCTCAACTATCATGGCAAAGATGGTTTCTGTATCTCATGGCCTCATATCTGTTGGTCCAATTAATAACATGGTGATCAAGACCAAAGCTTATGGGGCAGGGATGGTTACTCCTTATCTATCTAGTATCATATATACACACATATATATCCTCTTTAGAATTCCCAAAAAGAAAATACAATTTGAAGATAAAACTGTATATTAATTAATTAATTAATTAATTATATTAATGAAACAGTTTCAGCATTCACAAAAGTAATAAAATACAGCTGTTTCTCTTGCCCATTTATACCACGTGTAAATAATACCTGGTGGTCTGGAGACATACAGTTCCAATGATATAGGTCATATTTTCAAGTTTAACTGAATTTATCCCTTCTTACCTTATTATCTTTGGAGTACATTATTAATTTTATGGCTGGTTTATATATATATTTCATTTTTTACTTCTATTAGCTCTATCCAATTTTCTCATTTGTTTCTTATTTTCTTTCATTATGTAGGCACCCTTTCATAAAGAGGCACATGCCAGGAAACCATCTCTGGTCTATGCATTGTGGAACACCTTTAAGTTTGTCCTGATTCAAGTTGCTTTATTCAAAGTGTTTGCTGATATTTTGTCCTTCAGTAGCCCACTCATAATGAAGTAAGTTGTAGTCTTGTTTTTTGTTTTTTTTTTTTAATCTCCCCATAGGTAAATGATAAGCAAGTGTTCCACTCTCAAAGTTGTACTAAAAAAGAGTAGGGAAGGTCCTTATTGCAAATTTTATGTAGGATATGGACATTCTGTTAGCTTTGCTATAATACAAATGTGAATGATGGTAATATAGTCAATATTTACTGAAGTCAGCTATGTACTAAACACTGTTCTAAAATCTTTATATTAATTATCTTATTTAATCTTTACAACAATCCTATGAGACAGGAAATATTATTACACTCATTATCACGATGCAGAAAAAGAGGTTCAAGTAATTTGCCTAAGTTCACACAGCTAGAAAATTCCAGAGTTATGATTAAAAGCTAGGAAGTCTGTCTTGAATATATATTTAGAAAATGAAATGGTACATACCCTTACTATTTTTCTTAGCTGTGGCCTTTTGGGAGTTGAACTTTTATCAGCCAGGGTAGTGATATATAAATATAAATAAATATAAATGCATACGTGTGTATATATACACACACATATACATAGAGAGAGACATAATGTTTGAAGAATTTCCTTGATATTTCTTTAATATCTATATGCAAGGGTTTTTTGTGTGTTTTGGGTGACCCTACTGAAAGAGGTCTTTTGGAAGCCTGTATCTGTTTTCTCCTGGACCCATGTATCTTTCCTCTTTGTTGATTTTTTTTTTTTGTATCCTTTCAACATAGTAAGTCATAGTCATTAGTATGACTAGATGCTGACTGTTACAAGTCCTTCTAATGAATCATTTAACTAGGGAGTGGCCTTGGGGATCCCTGACAGCTATCTAGCCAATCCAAAAAGATTGAGTGAGTAATTATCTACATAAGGCTGGAGTTAACAAAAATATTGGCTGGAGTAATAAACTGGGGAACTGTTCCAAATTATACTGGGTATGACAAAATGTTCCAAATTATTTCTGGATGAGACCACCTTAGCGTGGATAAGGAGAAGTAAAGACATCTATAGACAAACAATCCAGCTATTCCAATTTGTGGAGTTAGTGAAGATAGGGAAATCCACCAAAGGACAATGAGAAGGAGTGCTTAGTGCAGAGAAAGGAGAACCAAGAGACCATGGTGTCAGGGAATCTAAGGCAAGAAGGTGTCCCTTTTTTGTCAGAAAATGTGCACCTGTCATTTTTCACGCCAAGGTCTGTTTGGCTCCCTTGTCTATGTCTGTGTTATGGAAATATGAGCCAAATGTCTCCTGGATTAAAACCCCCCACAGACAAGGTAACATAGCTCTTCTTCCCCTGCCTCTGCCTCTCGCCTTTGTATCTCACAGCTATTTTTAAGGAGTTGCCATAGAGTTCTCTCATCTGTGGCCAGAAATCTAGCTCTTAGAAATGTATTGACCAGCATCTTCCTCTCCTGCCCAACAGATCACCATGATCTGTTACTGTAGTATTAGGATTGTCAAAGTTTAGTGGCATAAAACAATGATCATTTTATTATGTTCACACCAAAATCTATGAGGCAAACATGATAACCACTAAGCTACAGAAACAAGGCATGATTTTATGGATCAGAACTTCAGAGAGGGATGGGTTTTCTTTGATCCACCATGATGAGGGCCCTAGCTGATTAGCTCGGCAGGTGATAGCTCTAGAAGTTCAAGTAGAGACGAATGTTTGGGGCCTTGGTTTTGGCTGTCAGCTGGGTTACCTTGGTTCTTTTTTATGTGTGCTGGTGCTGAAATGTCCAAGATGGCTTCTTAGCTTACATATTCATGCCTGGGCTAAGATAGCCAGATATCCATCTCTGTCTATCTGTCTGTCTGTCTGTCTCTCTCTCTCCCCAAGCCTCTCCACATGGTTAGCTTGAGCACAGAAGTCTCAGAGCAGTTGAACTGCTTACATAGCAGCTGGATTTTTTTCAGAGTGAACATGCCAAGAGGTTCAGACAAATCATTTTATGATCTAGGCTTGGAAGCCCCAGAATGTCACTTCTGCCACATTATTTTGGTCAAGCAAGCCCCTAAATCAGCCCAGATCCAAGGGGAGGAGACTTCGAATGGTTAAGTTTGACTTCTGAGTGGAAGGAGTAGCAAGAGATTCCCAGCCATTTTTAGTCATGCTCTGATTCCTAGTTTTCAATGTCTACTGCTCAAAAAACGCATTCTAGAATCTCACTGTGGCCACTTTTTTCTAAAATAGCTACAGGTCGTGGTAATTCAGTGTCTCCAAATATTTGCAGTCTACAGGGTGCTAAATAATTACTAAGTCCTTGTCTATGGGGTAAGGAATGGTCTCCCTAATTTTGTGACACACTTTTGTAACACACTAGCCTGACCAAAATAGTAATGTCAATATTGCATTGAAATCAGTTGGTTGATGTATCTTTCTTCCTGCCTAAACTATGAGCTCCTCATGGTAACGGATTCTATGTTACTCAGTGTCTGTGTCCTTACTGCCTAGCACAGAGCCTGGCACGTAGAACTCAAATACATTTCCTGAATGGAATACTGAATAAATGGGCTTATCCAAAGTCACACTTTTTCAAGAGATTCTCATTCTAGAGTAGCTGAATAGCCTTAATATTTCCACATTGAGGATTAAATGATCAGAAATAATTTTATGGGTTTAACATTAGAATTTAAATAAAAACTTGAAACATAAAGAATTTTATGAGTTTATATGATCATAAACTGAGCCTGGGGGAGCTAATTTTATAAGCTAATTTTGAGATGTATATTTTTCCTTTTGATAAGGGAAATTACTAGAGACTACTATTTTTAAGGATGAGAATACATTGTTGTGTTATCATGACTCATGTGTAGTAATCAAACATATAAAAATAATACTTTCATTAACATACTATTAGAAGAAATGTTTCTTGTTGATTGTTATGCTTACTCTTTCCCATTTTCTATGAATTTTATTATTATATTCATCAAACTAATGAGTATTCATAACCAATATGATGATTTTGGTTTTATGGTCTTCACCATTTCTTGATCACAGATTATTTTTAATATTTCCTGATTTAGGGCGCCTGGGTGGCTCAGATGGTTGGGCGTCTGCCTTCGGCTCAGGTCGCGATCCCGGGGTCCTGGGATCGAGTCCCGCATCGGGCTCCCTGCTCCTTGGGAGCCTGCTTCTCCCTCTGCCTCTCTCTCTCTCTCTGTCTCTCATGAATAAATAAATAAAATCTTAAAAAAAAAAATATTTCCTGATTTATATGTGTAGAACCACTAAGGTACCTGTTGATAGTCATTTAGTTGTTTGATTTTATGAGAAAGGAAAAAAGTTCAATTGGTATATATCCACAATAAGAAGAATAGTGCACCTCTTTCAGGAAATTTAATTCATAGACCAAGAAGACATTTAGTAAGTTGCTCTTGTAAAAATAATTTGGTGTCCCAATGGAAAGCATCTGATAGAGATCCACTAAGAGATACAGAATTTCCTGTTATTTCATGTAGGTGGGCTGTGGTATAATTCAATACTGTCATTGAGAATACACAATGCTCTCAGTAATATTCAGTGACTAGAGGTTTTAATAGTAATTTTAGAAACACTGGTATATATTTGACTCCAAAGTACAATTCCAATAAAGTTAATCTCTTGAAGTACTTGGTTTATAAAGCAATTTGGGAAACACAATTGCTTTTAATTTTTTTACCCATAAGTTGTCCAAGCTGCAAATAAAATAGATCAAGGCTTAGACATTAATTTTTTATTTTTTAAAAATGTAAACTTTAAAAACGTAAACTCACATAAAGAATGAGTTTTTAAAGTCAATGTTCTTAAATAGATATGGCCTTACCTAATTACATGTGGCTTCCTTCTGGTTATAATTTTAAGTTAACTCAAAATTGCTGTTTACAATAACAAGCACATTTCTGCATTTCCAGAACTCAGAGTAAAAAAAATGTACATTTCTAAAACATCTAATATTATACTTTTTACCTATAAAATAAATAACAGGAACTACTTCAACCAACCAAGAATTGAGCCTGCAAAATAAATGACATATTAATCTGTAGTATCTGAGAGAATATATCCAAGTTGTTTCCAGCATGATGTAGAGTATATGTAGACTTTTTACATTAGTATTATTATTAGTCACACAGATGCGGTTTAAAAAAAGTTGAGAGCATGTATATAGTATTAACAATGACATAAGGCATTTTAACCAGTGTTTACAGTTGAAGGGCAATAAGCAACCAAGGGAGCTATGATTAGAACTATCCCCATTGTCTAGCTGTACCCCAGCATTGACCATGATCATCATGACCATGCTATCGCCAAACTTAAGAGAAAATAAGGGAAGACAGAGTAGAGAGAAACTGGATATGGATATAAGTAATAAGAAGTGAGATATAATTCAGGCCTTTGAAAAAACTGTGTGCCATTCTGAGAGATTCACTACTTAACGTTCTGTCATGTTTCCCTATATTTAACAAAATGTATGATTATGATAAAAAAGAAGCTTTAAAGGTCTTTGTGTCTCAACTTGTATGATGAAGTTAGACCAGAACAGTTGGTAAGATTACCATATGAAAACTAGAAATTAACCTTGTACTCAGAAGCCTCTGAAAGTAACTGTTGATTCCTTGTACTTTATATAATACTTGAATTAAAAATAAAGGGGGGGGGCGCCTGGGTGGCTCAGTCGTTAAGCGTCTGCCTTCGGCTCAGGTCATGTTCCCAGGGTCCTGGGATCGAGCCCCGCATCATTGGGCTCCGTGCTCCACGGGAAGCCTGCTTCTCCCTCTCTCACTCCCCCTGCTTGTGTTCCTTCTCTCACTGTGTCTCTCTCTGTCAAATAAATAAATAAAATCTTTAAAAAAATAAATAAATAAAAAATAAAGGGGCGGGGGGAAGAAGCCAAATTGGCAAGAAGAGAAAAAGAGCAGGTAAACATGTGAGTGTGTGTAACATTTTGACATTTAACTTTCATAAGCATTTAACTACTTTAGATGTTTAACATTTCTTACCCTTTCTCAATTTCTATATGATGTTTAGGCAAATGATCATTTTCTGTGAACATCGCCCAGATTTTGGATGGAGTGGCTACGGTTATGCTTTGGCACTTTTTGTTGTAGTCTTTTTGCAAACCTTGATCCTTCAGCAATACCAACGTTTTAACATGCTCACTTCAGCAAAAATTAAGACGGCCGTAATTGGACTCATCTACAAAAAGGTAAAAAGTTAAGGAATTCTCAATTTGTAAATGGATTCTTTCCTTGCATACTTTAAAATAGGAGAGTACGTTAAAATGTTCCTAGGGTGCCCTTTGAGTGTACATTTGTTTTGCCTTAAAATAACTGACTCATCAATGTTGGTTGTATTAATTTCTCTATAGTTCTCTCTATAGTCCTTACAGCCCCTGCAACTTCCAGTGAGCCCTAATCCATGAAACTAGATGATGGTTTCTGTCCACTGTGTCACTGAACTCCTCCTCCCAAAGTGAATGGCAATGAATGTTTTCATGGTTGTCTATGTTTATGTATCAATAAAGTTTCTTCTTTTCATGATTATTTTCATTCTGCATGCTACTTTTTTCTTCTTCCTCTGCTGACTCCACTTCGCTTTCTCATGCAACAAAGCCATCTTTCTCTATGTAATCATCTACTTCTCTTTTATTCTAAGCCCTGCCTCTGCACCCACCCACCCTTCAGAACAACCTGGCTGATTCTTATACCTGTGATAACACTGAAGTTCAATTTGTTCTTTCTTGAAAATGGAATTTTAAATACCACTTCTTTACCATCCAGAGCCTTTTATTTACATCATAATTAAAAACAATTGAAGAATTTCTTCCTTCCCGTAGTTATCACCTGAGTTAGTCAATCAAGTGTATTTTGCATTCTTACTCTGTACTCTTCTGTAAATTGTGGGCCCTATAAGATTTGGAATAGAAGCCTATTTACCTATTGTGCCTTTATCATCTGGGAGAGTGACTTTTATACCTTTTTATAAAAGTTGTATGACTGAGTAAATGAATAAATGAGCCACTGCCTTCAAGAAATTGGGGGGGGATTATTAGCATACATAATAAATGTGTGGAACTAAATGCAGGTTTTATAAGAGGTCAGATGAGCAGGAAATCTACAATGATTGTGTGCAGTTAAAGAAGGTTTCAAATAGAAAGAAAGACTTGAGATGGTTTTTGGGAAAGATGTAGAATTTGTATTAGTGGAAGGAAGTATTATAATTTGGGCTGAGCTGTGCATGAAGCGTATAGGCCATTTGGCCATATTGGGCCAAAATGGGGGTATGGAATGGCCTTAGCCCAAATGCAGGGACATACCGCTATGGTCGTGATTCTAGAGGCTGTAAATTCTGAGAAATCCTGGTTTGGATGAACGATATCAATGAGTCTAGGAATCAGTTTAAATGTTAACACTTGTTTTTAATATACAGTCCATATGGAATAGGATTTCATTCAGTTATTAAAGCATTGGAACTTGGGAATAGGATTTGGATGGATTTACAAATATAAAAGAGCGGACTGCAGTAGAAATTAGAACAAGCTGTCAAATAAAAAAAGAAAATCAAGCGTTGTGGGTGAGTCTATTACAAGGGCAGGGAGACCCCGGAGATAATAATGGAAGAGGTAACACTGACTATAGGGATGAAACCATAGATTCCTTAGAGAGATTGTTTAAGAACAAAGAGCACTCTGGATCAAAGGAGTACAGCAATCAAGCCAGCTCAGTAGAGCTGGCTCTATGGATTACCATTTAATGCCAAGTCCATCAAACAAGCAGTAGAAGACATAGCCTGTGTTGTTATAACCTGTATTGATGCACTGAGGTAACATGTGCAAGTGGCACTGATGTAAGGCTGGCCTTTTTTCTTAGTCTCATATCCTACACCTGTTTTCCAGAGAGTCTATCTCTATGGGACTAATTAGGGTAGTTGGATTTCCATTCTCTTTACGGGTTGTAGAATTCTGATTTTTATCATATTTAGAGAACTTCAATATCCAAAATGGCTTTCAGAGTGGCACCAGATGACCCATATTAATCTGACATTGGCTCTACTACATCAGGGACTTGTTAGAGTGGGGTAAACATGGTCTCAGATCCTTTTCTTGGTGAGGAAGGGAGATGTTAGGACTTTCTTGTTCTCTATCCATCCACATGACTGCTGCTAGTTTGGAATAGAAATACCATTTTTAAGGTTTGTGGGAAAAACATGGGCCCCATTCCACTTGATCACTTTAAGAGTTCATGAGTCTCAAAGCTCAGATTTTGTTACCTGTTAGCTCACAGGTGCAGGCCCCATGACAATTCTTGAGGACTAAGAAATGGGATATGCTTCAAAAGCAGTATCAGTTAGTCCTGGGTTTAATATGGGAAGTCTGGGGGCATTCTTCCACCAAACAGTAGAATCTTTGTGATTTTGAAAATGGGTAAAGGTGATCAGAAGGTACAAAACTTCTAGTTAAAAAAATAGATGTCATGAGGATGTATTGTGCCGCATGGCAATTATAGTTAATAATACTGTATTGTGGGGTGCCTGGGTGGCTCAGTCGTTAAGTGTCTGCCTTCAGCTCAGGTCATGATCCCAGAGTCCTGGGATCGAGCCACACATCGGGCTCCCTGCTCAGCGGGAAGCCTGCTTCTCCCTCTCCCACTCCCCCTGCTTGTGTTCCCTCTCTCGCTGTGTCTCTCTCTGTCAAATAAATAACATCTTAAAAAAAAAAGACTGTATTGTGATGGGCACTTGGGTGGCTCAGTTGGTTAAATGTTTGCCTTCAGCTCAGGTCATGATCCAGGGTCCTGGGATCGAGCCCCGCATCGGGCTCCCTGCTCAGCAGGGAGTCTGCTTCTCCCTTTCTCTCTCCCTCTGCCTCTCCTCATGCTTGTGCTTCCTCTCTCTCTCAAATAAATAAAATCTTTAAAAAAAAATACCATATTGTATTTTTGACAGCTGCTAAAAGAGTAGATCTTAAAAGTTCTAATCACAAGAAATAAAACTTTTTTAACTATGTGTAGTGATGGATGTTAACTAGTCTTGTGGTGATCATTTGACAATGTCATTTTGCATTGTATATCATTTTGCAATGTATACAAATACTGAATAATTTTGTTACACACCTGAAACTATATATGTCAATTAAATATATCACAATTTTTAAAAAAGGGGAGAGGTAGGAAAAACAGAAGAGATTTGGAGCATGGGGTGCTGACAAAGAGAACAGGTTTGAGTTAGAGACCAAAGTTGAAGGAGGTATCTGGAAAAAAAAAAAAAAGAAATAAAGTAAAATAAAGCAAAATACAAAAAAAACTTCCTGACTTCTAAAACATTTTTTTTTAAAGATTTTATTTATTTGACAGAGAGAGACACAGCAAGAGAGGGAACACAAGCAGGGAGAATGGGAGAGGGAGAGGGAGAAATAGGCTTCCTGCCGAGCAGGGAACCTGATGCGGGGCTCGATCCCAGGACCCTGGGATCATGACCTGAGCCGAAGGCAGACGCTTAACCATCTGAGCCACCCAGGCGCCCCTAAAACATTTTTTTAACAAACAAAAGTAATATATCCAGGGGCACCTGGGTGGCTCAGTCATTAAGCGTCTGCCTTCGGCTCAGGTCATGATCCCGGGGTCCTGGGATCGAGCCCCGCATTGGGCTCACTGCTCAGTGGGAAGCCTGCTTCTCCCTCTCCTCCCTGCTTGTGCTCTCTGTCATTATCTCTATAGCTCTCTCTGTCAATGTCTCTCAAATAAATAAATAAAATCTTTAAAAAAAATAAAAAAAAATAAAAGTAATATATCCACATTATCCAGTTTGGCACCACTGGTCACATATGACTATTGAGCCCTTGACCTGTGGCTCTTAAGACTAAGGAAGTGAATTTTTAATTTTGATGAAATTTAATAACAACACATAGCTAGTTGCTACCATTGTTGGACAGTAGTGCAGTGTCTAAACTGTCTATATTTGTAGTTTAAAGATTTGTTCTTAACCTTAATTGGGATAATTATAAAATGCAAGAAAATTAATAAAATATAGTACATTTAAAAAAAATAAAAATATGTAAGTGTAGTCAGGAAGAGGAGAAGCAGAATCCAAATCCTGCACTTAGAGTCAGAAAGAGAATCCTGGCATACTTTTTTTGCATACAGAAGAACTGAAGAAGAATGAGTTCTTATAGATGTTATGAGGGTCCATCTTTAGGTCCACCATATCTCTTGAGAAGTGTAGTAACTGCTGGCTTAGAATCACCGGGTGAGGAATTTTTAGGACCCTTCCAGCTCTAAATTATGTGATTTCTATGCCTTATAGCTAGGATGGTCAGGAAAAACGTAATGGTTAATATTGCATAATATTGCATGATTTAAGTCAGAAGGATGAATTGCATGAGGCAAAGACTCTACTGTGGAAATGTATTCTGGGAGGGAGTACACAGATGAATACATGGCTTGCTCAGAAAATGATGAGCAGATTAATTTAGCTAGAGATAGTATTTTTATGAGTAGGATGGTGGGGTGGGGTAGGATGGTAAAATAGAAGGGATTGCAACTCTTTTTTCAAAAACTTGAAAGATACATTGTAAAAACGGACTTTAATTCTAGAGGATATTGGAACTCATTTGAGATCAGGAGAAACTAATGAAAATAGATAGGGTTGGAAGTAAGGAGTACCTTAGAACTATTTCAATAGTTCTGGAAATAAAGATATGAACCAGGACCATGGCAATGAGTCTAGAAAGGAACAAATATATAAGAAGGAGAATGTGAAATTGCAAACAGATTTCATCATCAGATGATAAAGTGAGATATTAGTGAATTGAGTTCAGGGATAATTCAGATATTTCCAGTCAGTAAGAGAGGTTTTTGAGGCTGGAGCCTTAATCTGGTTCATCTTGGTCTTGTTAGAGTATAATTCAATAAAGGAAATCAATGAAGTTTCAGGAAGTGATAAGTCACATAGTTGTGCTGTGTGTGTATGTGTGTGTGTGTGTGTGTGTGTGTGTGTGTGTGTAGACTGGGTAAAGAAAATATTGTAGAAAAGAAATCTCAAAATTGGATGAAATTTAAAAATAACAGAGTTCTGTGAAAGTGATTATGATTAAAATATAATTGTAAATGAAAATTTGTTAATTGTCATTTTGATTGAAGAGTATTTATAAACTCCCAACTTTCTATATGGTTTTAGATTTTACAGTTGATTTTTTTTTCTTTTTACCTC